AGCCTAAGCATGTTTGGATCAAGTTGTTCTTTGCACTGATTCCATCACCTTTCTATACTTTCAATAAAAGTAAGGTTCAGACTTTCCAGAAAACTGCAGAAGTAATCTATTTTTAGGTGACTACAGAATTTTATCCTAAGGGGACTACATTTAGGTTCAGTAATATTCTTACCAGCTTCCTATCTCTGCAAAAGAAGTCCAGTGATAGTTTGTTGGAAAAGAATGATCAATTTTTCAATAGAGAGGCAGAAAAAAGAGGAATGAAAAGCCAAAAGTGAAGATCTAGGCTTATCCTATAAGACTAAGCAGGCCCTGAAAATAGGAGAATAAGGGACAAACATAAGAGAAAATGTAAAATAACTCAAGTCTTGTGATGCAGGTTAAACCATAGGTGGTCTCAAAAATGGCTTGAAATAGGAATGCAGTTGCCTCATTCATACTTAACATATCTGTTAATATGAACTGCTCTACTAAATCTACATTGTAAAAATAACCCACTGTAGGTCATAAAGAAGTAAAATGATTGCACAAAATGTTGTATAGAAAATATTTTGGAAAAAGAAGTCCCTTAGATACCATAGAGTATTCTTTATTATAGATAAAGATTTTTTTAACTGAAGTTCACCAACATTAACTACTTAATACAGGTTAAGAAACAATTGTTATTATAGTCCTAGTATTTCTACATTGAATTCTAACTCCAGATTCGGCAGCTTTATCATGTCAGTTTCACAAGAATATAATTAATTTCTGTACATGAAATAAAACTTGAAATATTGTAAACAAATTCATGCACAGAATATTTATATTAATTTGTATCATATTAATTTATTAACTGTATAACATGTAACATTAAAATGGTGAGGTTGAGGGGCAGATGTAACTCAGTAGTTGAGTACTGGCCTAGCATGTGTAAGGCCCTGGGTATGCCCCTGAGCACTGAAATAAAATAAAATAATGATATTGAAAATGTATTTAGTGTACACAAAAGCAATGTTAGGAATTTTTCTGTATAGCTATCCTTAACTCAACTCGCAAAAACACTTTGTCTTCCTTATTATGCTTGTGTCTTTTCTTCAACAAAATTAGTGATAAAGGCAGAACAGGTTCTGCCTGGAACTGAGGCGGGGGGGAGGGATGGGAGAGGGGGATAAGGGGAAGAAATGACCCAAACAATGTATGCATATGTGAATAAATTAATAATTTTAAAAATAATAATAAAATAAAATAAAAAGAAAATGTATTTAGTTCCATCTTTGTAGTGAAAGGGGATAGTATCACAGAATTTTGTGAAAAGTTAGTGTGCCAAATGAAAATCCAATCACACCAATTTCTACTGGGTGAATATACTTTATAGAATTCCAAGTTACAAGCCTCATCATGACGTTAGACCTGCCTAGTCCCATTATTAAATAGAATTCAATAGCTCAGAAATATTTAGTGAGAGAAATTCCCAGCCATATTTTTGAAAATCTGAATGACCAAACTCAATCCTTCAACTCCTTGTCTAGGGCTAAAATCAATGCAAGCTCCCTAACAAAGCAGTCTAATTATATGTATTTTGCCCCTGTGAACTTCTTTGTGAAATTTTATAAACTGATTAACTAGTATATAACTGACAAATTTGCAAAAAACTGTTCATGGGACTTAGTTGAATAAACTAAGGGAAATAAATATCAATCCCAAATGATGCTTAATTCAGAAAAAATGAACTTACAAAATTTTTTCAGTCCTCTGGTATCCATTCTATTTGCATATTCCACTTAGAAGACTACCATACCTGAAAATAACCTTTATTCTTTAAAAGAATGAATAGTAGGAAGGTGTGTTCAATGAGAATCATTTCTTTGCACATCATCAGTTACATGCCCATCATAATTAATCTTAGTGAGTTCCTATATCCCACACTATCAGCTTTTCATTAACCATTTAGCCATAAGCAAAGATCTTCTAAAACTTATAACAACATAGTCAATTCTTCTATTCAACACCTACCATGAGAGTGATTTCATCATTCCTCATCTTTGTGTTAGAAATGAATTCCTTCATGACCACAGTTGGAAAAGGTTCTAAAGGTATTCTTAACCAGTATTTATTTAGGTTTTACTATTGATTTAAGTAGGAAATACCTGAGACTTACTATATTAGCAGAAAACAAATGAAAGAGTTTATAGAACTTGTGCAAGTGATTCTATTTCTGCTATAGTATATAAGTCATGAACAAGAAAACTTTAACATATCTTAAGAGAAAACATCATAAACATTTAATAAAAACATAGTGTTCTGAAGGAAAAAATTAAGTATTCACAAGGCTACAGCAGCAATACAGTTGAGACTAGAACAGTACATGGATTTGGATCTGCTCCTGAGACCAATGAATGGCTAGCAAACACAGATACAATATCCATTTGAAAATAAGAACAAATGATCTAGGGACTTGAAATACACAAACTGAAAAGTAAACCAAGTATAGAGACAGAGAGAATTAAAACAGTTCTTGCATGTATGTTTTAGAAGAATTTGTGCTTTGAAAACACATTCTATTAGTCTAGGAATAATGGTTAACCAGAGAAAATACAAAGAAGAAGCAGTTAGTTAAAAGGTGGCAAAGATTCATGTCGAGGATCTGGTAAGAAATTTAACAGGACCATGGATTTTGATAATCTAAACTCAATAAAGGCTAAATGCCCTGTAAAGCTAAAATAAGAAGCTATTTATACTTAAAAGAAGGAATAGCTATGTTTTTACATTTGTTCTTTATTAGGAATATTAGGAAGGAATATTAAATACATACATGAGTACATATGTATATTTTTAACATTTTTTTCATTATTTAACACATTCATGACAGCATAAAAGTAACAAGTGTATATGATATACTGTACATTGAATTGATTCTGTTCCTGGAGTTGCCACTGTGAGCTGTGGAACCTTCTGGAAACAATTTACATCTTCGTGACAGTTCTCTCATATGTAAAAGTATCAAGTGTCAATGAATGGTGATTTTCTGGGGGGTTTTCCTGACATGTTCAAATATTAAATATTTTGAAGTATTCTAAAATCATATCTTCTGATCTATAATGTTAATAAACTACTTCCTAACTAAAACTAAGTTAGGTACTTTTGTAGGATTATTCATTTATTCCAAGTCATTAAAATTCACTTGGTAATTTATGTTTTTGCTAAAGTAAATTTATGAAAAGATTCCTATCTCTCATAATGCACCGATAAATTTGTCAACACAGGCAAAGAAAAGTAGAGCTCTCATGTAATTATTCAGATAAAAACAAAACAGTTATTGTTGTATGGAAAAAGTAAAAAACTATTTTACCAAATAAAGTTAATAAGTTGCTACATTTCTCAATTTTGAACTTCTACTTATATTTGTTGCCTATTTCTTCCCAATTGTAACAGCTAAACATGAATTTGATGTGTATTAGGTGAATCAGCTGTGCTTATTGAATCAAAATAAAAATAAGCTTTAAATATGTATTGTCCTTTCACCTGACACTACCAAAGGATGTTTTGTGGAAATTCTGGCATAATCAAATAAATCATTGGTTTTACAGAATCTTTTCTGGAATGCAGCCTTGATAGTTTTACTTACCAATATCTTCATCACTATGGAAAAAAAAAAACAAAAACAACTCTCTGATCATGAATTTTTAAGCCAAGAATGCAGCCTCAATTCAGAATCTTAGTGTCTTTAATTCTTATTTAACTAAAACTTATGCTTTTCTGAATTATGTTAACATCAGAAATTTTACAGATTTACCTTTTGATATTTCAACACATATTCACATTATTGAAGTAGTAAACATAGAAAATAGAGAATGAGAAACATCCAATGTTCATAACTGCTGTGTCAGGCCACTCTGAAAACAACTTTTTCAAAAAATCCTCTTGAGAGATACAATCTGACAAAGGAGGTCATACATAATATATATGATTCCATGTATAATTTTTCAACATTATGATGGTAGGAAAAAGTATGCATTTACCAGAAACCAAACTTCAAATTTTGAATTCTGATCTTCTCCTAGACTGGTAGCCACAGTTCCTAGTCAGTCATGAGAACAAGGCAGCAAAAACATACTCTGCAGTGTGGTGTTACAAACTTACAGTGTTGGATGGGTTAGGCATATCAAATGTATTCTCATCTAAGTATTTATGGGAGCAACAGAAAGGCTTGAGATACAAGGATAGCAATAACTAGAGGAACTGAAGGCTTAAAAACTAAACATATATAATTGAATTCCCCACTATGGGATAGACATGACCTTTAAGAACTGGGTAATTGCTAGCATTTTTTGAGACTGTTTGCAAATCCTTCCTATATCGAAATGTTACAAGACTACATACAGGTCCTATTCCTGAGCCAGTTTAGTTAGCTTGGCTTCTTGTCTTGTTCCTTTCTGGTTTTGCTATATGATATCCTACTGTGCTACATGGCTTAATAGGCTAGTAAAGTAAATTCTGCATTATATGTATGCTTTTGGTCATTTATAGAAAAATCTCTCCAAAATTTTTATGGGCCATTGTTCTATGAATGCTCTTTAATCTGTCATTCATTCTACATATGCTTTCCATGGAACAGAACCGAAGAATAAATTTTCTTCCATTAGATTTCTTTCTCATATTTTTTAACTTTTGGATTTCTTCTCTTATGGCATTGTGATAATATGGTCACCACATTATCCAAACATCTTGTCAACGTTGCCAGTATTTTGCAATTTTAAGGAGCATAAAGAAATGAAATTGGTTGCTAGGTTGAATAAAGTTGTTTTCCAAACCTGTCAGTTCAACTAAATGATTGTTCTAGTAAAGGCAGGCGTCTGTAGAAGTCATAGCAAGAGACAGCCTAAGAAATTCATAAGGAAAATTTCTCCTGAGTTTGGGTCGATCCTCTCAATTGGATAAAATTTTGCTAAACAGAAACATTGAGTTATGAGGAAAAAAGCACAAGTTTGATGAGGAAAAATCTGCATTCACTCACTTACCGAAACCACAACTACAGGATACAAAATGGAAAGGTCACTCTCCTCAAGCATACTCAGTAATTTCTTGGTTTTGTGAAAATCAGATGTCATAAACTGAAAGACCAGGAAAATAAGATAAAGCGAAAAGTAGCTCTTAAAAGACTTAACAGATAACTCAAGGGGAAAAAAATGGAGAGATTTTACATAATATTGAAATATTTATCAAGATTAATCTTTGGGACTGGAGACATGGCTCAAGTGGTTCTACCAAGTTCAAGGCTCTGAGTTCAAGCACTAGTTCCATCAAAAAAAATAATAATCTTGAAAGTTTAATGGATACCCATAGGTTATATGCATTAAATTTTGAGCTATTTTTACTTTGCTCTTATATTATCTACTTTATACTGAATACAAAACAGAAAATTAAAAATACAGTCTATAGAAATATTATTTGCTTTCAACAACACTTCCCTATTCCAAAAGATAAAAATACAATTTCGAAAAACACACTGACACAATTCATCTGTCAATCTCTTCTGTGCAAATACTTCAGGAACAACAAAATCAATTCTTTTTGTCATTACATTTGTTCATATCGTCAAGTGCTATCAGTTATTTGTATTTTGCTACTTACATTCACACAAGCAAAACTGTAGCATTGCTCCAAGATGTGCTGAGTATCTCTGCCAGCATAACCCAGAGCCCCACATGCGACTTTAACATGCTAGAGGGAAAGACACACAGGAAAAAATTTACAGCTAGAAAGACCAAATATGATCATAAACTACTTTACTACAAAACAGCATATAACTGTTACAAGGCCAGCATCTAAAACCCAGGACTGTATTAAACAATGAATTCAGATTGAAGATTATCAGGCTACCAAAGTCATTTCAATTAGGCCATGAATAATGAACATTACTTTAACAAGCAAGAGTGCAGGAAACTGCTTCAGATAGGAACAATGTAGGAGACACAGAAAATACTCACGAACAGGCAAGTAGTCTGGTTTACATTATATGAAGAATTTATTGCAGAGGATGTCGAAGAACTAAAATAGAAAGGTTGGCTAGACAGGGATGGTTGAAACACGGAAGGATATTAAACACCACAGTTACAAAGAATAGATGTCACTAAACCAGGAATGACTGAGGGCAGGAAGAATAATATGAAATTATAAGAACACCATTGAGAAAGAAATAAGACTTGAACTTGGACAATAATAATGAAGACCAATGACAGTCTGCCAAAGATCTTATTACAAGAGGCTGTCTCAGACTACATTTAGGAGAGACAGTACATATGTTTTACAAATTTCTTAATAAGATTGTTTCTTTTTAACTTGGCATTCTAATTTACTTACTACAAGTTTTTCTATTATAACAATATAAACAAAAACTTAAGAAATACTACACAGGGGTATTTTATATCTCTGCTGTAACAATTTCCCAGGAACTCATATTTCAGTGGTTCTTACTGGCATTATATTTATACTACTTTATAATTTATAGTTCTAAAAATCAATGTTATTTCCATTTAAAACTCTTATTGAACACAAAGGTCAAAGAGTACTATTTACAAAAAAAAATAAGAGAATTTCTATGTCATCAGCTCTACATTACTACTACAACAGAAATCAGCTTCCACAGTGCAACATTAAATTTGATCAAGGAATTAATTACATCTTCTCGATATTACAGGGACACAATTTTTCATGGTTCTCTCATGTAGCCAAATGTTTTCAAAGGCTTTAACAGCTAATTTGCTCTAGATGTTTGCATAACAGAGCAACTTGCCAGGACAGACATGTCCTTTCCTAGAGATTTGCTTGTTTTCCAGAAAGTAATGATGGAGACCTGAATCCCCTCAGAGCAGATTTACATGACATTCCAGAGTCATAAAGATAACGTCTCCCTTGTAACAGGAGGATATCATCAGCCCATGTGTAAGGCCTGAATTTCCTAATATCAAGGTACTTTGGAATACATCCCATTGCCAGACAACAACTAACTCTGACTGCATATCTCTGTGGGACTTCCAATTCAGTAAGCCAGCACTAGACTATTATTCCAACTACTGCTATGTCTGTGAATATATATAAATCATCTTTACTCTGACCCTGAAATGACAGGTCTTCTTCTAGTATCAATGGTACTGTGTCAGGCAGAATTGCTTGCATGTGAGGAAGGCTATCATCTTAGATCCTGACAAGTTTCTGACTTGACAGATGTAAATTAAGACAACCACACACAGCAGCAGACTTCACTTCAACAAATGTGCCTAAGTGAATTCTGAATTCAGAAAACAATTAATTACTTTAAAATTTTTGTGAGCATATACATTAATGAGATCTATAATAAGAACATGAGGCATATTCTGATTTAGTCTTTTACACAAAAAAATTAGGTAAAATCCTGAGGACAAGATCTAGAGTCTTTGAAAAAAGAAGCATTCATGTTTTTAATCAATAAAAATCCTTAACAAAAAGTTCAAAACTTTACTACCAATGTTTTTTAAAGGAAAATGGCTCGTGTCAAGAAAAATTGTGTATGGCTCGCAGAGCGGCTCAAAAGGTAGAACGCCTGCCTAGCAAGCATGAGAGTCCAAGTTCAAACACCAGTACTGCCAATGAAATGAAGAAGAAAGAAGAAAGGAGAAGGAGGAGGAGGAGGAAGAGGAAGAGGAAGAGGAAGGAGGAGTAAGAGGAGGAGAAGGTATATATTCGTAAAATCAACAATGTGGAAAAGTTTTTTGAAAAGTTGAAAAAGAAAACAAAGCCAGGTGCTGGTGGCTCTCAACTATAATCCTAATTACCTGGGAGGCTAAAATTGGGAGGATCGTGATTTTTGACCCCAGCCTGGGAAAAGAGTTTATAAGACTCCACCTCAACCAAAAGCAGAACTTGCCTGTCACCCCAAGCTCCATGGGAGGCTGAGATCAGAAGGATCAAGGTTCTAGTCTAGCTAGGGAAAAAAATTTGTGAGACTCCATCTCAACAGAAAAAAAACTCAGTGTAGTGGCACATACCTGTCATTCTAGCTATGGAGGGAAGCATAAAATACAATCACAGTCCAGGCCATCCTGGGAATAAAGCAAGACAACTATCTCAAGAATAACCAGAGCAAAAAGGGCTGGAGGAGTGGCTCTAGCAGTGCAGTATCTGCCTTGCAAACGTAAAACTCTGAGTTCAAACCCCAGTACCACCAAAAAAAAATAAAATAAAATAAAAATCTAAAAACTCAAAAATACCACTTCAAAGAATCACTGACAGTTGGATAGGAATCACTCTGACAATTTTCAGTTTTCTGTGAACAAGATATGCAAGGACAAAACGATTCACTAAAAGCATGGGATTGTAATGTCTATTTCCTTTTGTAATTATGACAATAAAAGAAAATCAAACACAGTATAACTAAAGGCATTAGTTATACTAATTAACTTCACTTAATTCTTCATATTCAAAGAGGTTAGTTTCCAATGGTTAAGAGTGATATCACCTCACCAACAACACACTTGACAACACAATTCACTTGTCAATATTGACTTCCTCCTACAAAAAAGTAGGAGAGAATACATTTTTTTTTTTTTGTTAACTTTTTTTTTGGCAGCACTGGGGTTTGAATTCTGGGTCTCATGCCAGCCCTTTTTGGAGATGGGTTTTTACAAGATGGATCTCAAGAGCTATTTGCCTGGGCAGGCTTCACAGCTCCAGTCTCCTGATCTCTACCTCTTGAGTAGCTAGGATTACAGGCATGAGCCACACGAGCCTGGCTTGAGAGAACACATTTTAAATTCCACCAACAGCCTAGTTCTGGCTCATATTTTTATTCTGATGAGGTATCATGTTCTATTCTGTGGTGTGTTTCTACTTCTAATAAGCTAGTCAGTTATAGAGTTGTATTCTTCTAGTTTTAATTTTATTTCCTTAGTTATTCACTGTTAGTCTCTTGGAATCTTTAGAGTTTTTTAAGCTTCTTGAATTCAGCTTCTTACTCAGCTCTATAGAATAATCAAGTATGAGAATATCTGGGGACCAAGAGATGTCTGAGCATTCTTGCAGACTTATTTCATCTGATTTTTTTCTTGTGGTATGATTACTTTCTAATTGTATAGTCTTCTGGTTCTTTTCTATGAATTGGAGAGTTTTAAAAAAAATGGCAGACACTGAAAAACATCAAAGATCCACAAAGAACTGGGGACTTTCTACAGTTGAGGGCCATTTTACTTTACTATCACAAACACTGAGCTCATGTTTGCCTGTGGCAACTTTAACCCATATTGACTTCAATATATACTTGTTTCTTTATAAAAGCTATTTCATGTTTCTTAAACTTTATTAGTAGTAGTTAAAGCTTGTATTCTCAGATGGGTGCTGTGGTTCACACCTGTAATCCTGGCTGCTTATGAGACAGAATTAAAGCAGATCTCAGTTTGATGTCAGCTTGGACAAAAGGTTAGCAAGACCCCATCTCAATCAATAAGCTGGACATAGTGGTACTTGCCTGTGGTCCCAGCTATGTAGGAGGCATAGGAAGGAGGATCATGGTCTGAGGCCAACCCCAGGCAAAATGTAAGACCCTACCTAAAAAATAACTAAAAGCAAAAAAAAAGGTTGGGGGACATTTCTCAAGTGGTAGAGTGCCTGCCTAGGAGGTGTTAGGTATTATTTAATTATAATTAAAATACATTTTCTCAGTTATTTGATAAATTTAAAATTCTAATTAAAATACAATATTATTTATCAGCTAATGTTCAAAGACTAAGGCATATGCACACAATATTTTGTTAAAATATTAGTATTTTTGTACTCATAGAAAACACAAGAACTAAACTAAAATTCCTTTCTTCTTTAAACTGAGACTCTTAATAATTATTTCTAGTTAAGTATAATCATTTCTTTTCTGGAAGCTTTACTAGCTTCAATAAAGAGGCAAAGGAGTCTTTGACACCTTTAATAAACAAAGACCACATTAGACAATGCTATTAGGTTGTTTATGAAAAGCTCTGTGGCGTCATCTTATGCTGTCACTACTCATGTTTCCACACTTGCACACAACAAATGGAACAAGCTCCTGGCTAGAACAACTTTTGTTCTGTAAATATTTTTGTTCAATGAACATTTAAACAAAACTTAAAATAATTTTCTAATATGTTCAGTAAAAGTAAAGAAGTATACTAAAAATTAAATATTTTCCCATAACAAATAAAAATGCAGGAAAGACTTGCCATTAATAAATGCAAACATCTGCATAGTCAAAATATTATTTTGATTATGATGGTTTGTTTTAAAAAAAAAGTTTTAATTTCAACAAGAGTTAGGGCTTAACTAAGGCTGAAAGGCCTTAGTCCTGTGAGTCAGAGGTTCAAAAATGTGTTTCTGAGAAGCCAACCCTCTTTTTACAGAACATGTTAGTTGCGTCATCTCTGAATCTGAATCCACAATGTCCCACCTCCTTCATATTCAAACAACAGCCCTAATGTGAATATAAACAAGGGAGTTGTAGAAAGATAAGGGTTTTTTTTTTTTCTTCTCTGTGGACAGGCTAGCTTTATATAAACTATAGCCCCAATCATGAAGGCTGAGTTGATGGAGTAAGGCAGTGACCCTCCACTTCATAGAGTGCCACCATAAAACCCACATCCTGCCAGGCACTGGTGGCTCACACCTGCAATCCCAGCTACTCAGGAGGCAGAGATCAAGAAGCCAGCTGGGGCAAATAGCTA